CCTGCCTACTGACAAAATAAACATGTGTGCAAAATTTTAGCCTTCTATCTCAATTCGTTCGACAGATAGCGTGATTACAACAGACAGACAAACTGACAGACAGACGCACATTGCTACTTCGACTTAGAATTTTACGCTGATCAAGAATATATATGCTTTGTTGGGTATGACATGAGTATTTCGAAGAGTTACAAACGGAATGACAAAGTTAATATACCCTCCATAGTATGGTAAAGGGTAAAAAAACGAGGAAAGAATCGTCCGACTGGTTAAGGCTGCATATGTGAATGGCCCTAAAAAATTAACCTTTTGGGGATTTTGGTCTACTAATAAAGTGCTATCAACTACTCTTCGAACTTGGCCCTCTTCAAGACAGACAATTTTCGTAATTGTTGAACAGTAAATAAACTAGCACTCATCATTGGTAAAGTATTCGGTGCCTTATCGTGAATATTTTGAATGCACAACTATGATATTATAAAGCATACTTTATGGCGACAGGTTAAATATAATTAAGTGTGACTTTTTCAGAGTTTACTCTAAGGGATATCAATAATCATTCTCATCAACCTACCATATTTTTGTAATGTTGTTCGAAAATAGTTCCATTATAAACCAGTAAAGAAAGTCTTAAAGTCGGGCGGCGCCGACTTTATGATACCCTACACCACTTTGCTAATTAAGTAGAGCTCCACATAACAATTAAAAGTTTCTATGGGAGAATTCAATCATACACGCTATGATTATAATTATAATTTAAAGTTCAAAGGACTAAATTCGGAATTGTATTGTCCATTTGGTGCACAATTAATTTGAAATCGGATAAAGATATATATGGGAGTTATATCCAAATCTGAACCGATCTCGATAAACTTTGGCAACGATATTTCTGAGCTGTATTTGATATATTTCCCTGAATATCGTTGTTACAGAGTGCATATTACGGTTGTGGGTACCAAATATAACAAATCGGATGAATAATATATATGGAAGCTATAACTATATCTGAACCGATCTGAACCAAATTTGAGATACTAGCTACTAGACTCAATTGGGTCGTAAGTGCCAAATTCCATCCCATTTGGACAAATATTAGACGTTTGGTGCACAATAAAAGGTAAATCGGACGATGTTATATATGGGAGCTATATCCAAATCTGAACCGATCTCGATAAAATTTAGCAAATGTATTTCTGAGCTGTATTTGATATATTTCCCCAAATATTGTTGTTGCATAGTGCATATTACGGTGGCGGTGGACAAAAATAACAAATCGGATGAACAATATATATGGGAGCTATAGCTATATCTGAACCGATTTCGATCAAATTTGGCATACATATTTTCAGGCCTAATATGGGTGTATGTGCAAAATTCCATACAATTCGGGCTGATATTACACGTTTGGTGCACAATAAAAGTCAAATCGGACGAAGATATATATGGGAGCTATATCCAAATTTTGACCGATTATCTCCAATTTCAATAGGGTTCGTCCTTAGGCCAAACAAAAGACCTTTGCAAAATTTCATCTGGATCGGGCAATAAATGCGACCTGTACTTTGTTTACAAAAATACATGGACAGACGGACGGACGGACGGACAGACGGACGGACGGACATGCATAAATCGACTCAGAATGTGATTCTATGCAGATCATCAAAAGGAACTATGGGTCTATCTCGTTTCCTTCTGCCTGTTACAAACAAATGCACAAAGACATAATACCCTGACCACCTTGTGGTGTAGGGTATAAAAATAGATGCCATTAAGTGGAACACAAAAGAAAAGGGTTTAATTACAAAATAAATAAAATCATTTTTTCGTGGCTAAAGACAAATGAGTCGAATCAATCTGCTATCTATCTTTAATAACCTCCTTTAACAACCACAAACAATTTTAATAATGTTCAACCTACATTTTAAGGAAAAACGTATTCTTACCTTGGCGCTCTATGCAAAAAAGAGCCTAGAGTATTTCGCATTCACGTTTCGATATATGTCCTATAATATTCTTAAATATATTTCTTTTCTAAGTTTTCAGCGGGCAAATCAGTCAGCAGCAAATCAAATTCTTATTAGATATCGAACTCTCAGCCTTAGCTTTAAAAGCTACATAAATATTTTTTAAAAATTCCCAATTTGAATACATTTCCCTACAAAAGTAGAATTCCCGGTGAAGTTTCTATCGATATAATGCCCTTGGTATAGAATTTACAAATTCCTCAAGATATTGCGATACATAATTGAACTTGTTCTTGATGCATTGCGTTATCTAAAATTCAACGTACCCGAACGACATTTTTCGCCACACAAGTTAAACACATAAATGTTACCGAAATACGTCGAGCGAACGAAATTTCACAATCGAAAAATTTCAAAAACCGATTAGTATCCGTAGATTTTGGTGGCCATTGTGCACTGGAAATGAAGCGAGGAACATCATTTTGTAAACATTTTTGGGTGGCGTGTGCTGAGTCCGATGGTACTGGGTCCTGTTGGAATGTCCAAGGTCCGCGGCCCAAATGTTTGCGTGCCCAAGGCTTTAATACATCCTCCAGAATATTTTCACGATAATATTCGGCATTTATTCTGATGCCGCGTCGATTAATACGAGCGGAGAGCGACCAACGGCTGTTATGGCGGCCACACCATTACCATGGCCGGCGCTTGAGTTCTGATGGCCAACCGAAGGTGTACATTTTCAGCTGACCACTTTGGCAAGTAAACACGATCAACGAATGGACAACACGATCAACGAATGTCTCATCGGGGAAAACCAAATTCGGCAGTTCAAAGCAACTCTTTAGCTCTTCTAAGTGTATTTATACCCTACACCACAAGGTGGTCAGGGTATTATGTCTTTATGGATTTGTTTGTAACAGGCAAAAGGAAACGAGATAGACCCATAGTTACTTTTGAGGATCTCCATAGAATCACTTTCTGAGTTGATTTATGCATGTCAGTTCGTCTGTCCGTCCGTCTGTCCATGTATTCTTGTGAACAAAATGCAGGTTGCATTTATTATCCGATTGAGATGAAATTTTCCAAACAACATTTGTTTGGCCCAAGGACGAACCCTATTGAAACTGGAGATAATCCGTAAAAATTTACATATAGCTCCCATATATATCTTCGTCCGATTTGCCTTTTATTGTGCACCAAACGTGTAATATCAGCCCGAATAGTATGGAATTTTGCACATACAACCAAATTAGGCCTGAAAATAAGTATGCCAAATTTGATCGAAATCGGTTCAGATACAGCTATAGCTCCCATATATATTGTTCGTCCGATTTGTTATTTTTGTCCTCCGCAGCCGTAATATACAGAGTGCATAACAACGATATTCAGGGAAATATATCAAATACAGCTCAGAAATATATTTGCCAAATTTTATCGAGATCGGTTCAGATTTGGATATAGCTTCCATATATCTCTTTATCTGATTTCAAATTAATTTTGCACAAATTGGCAATACAAGTCCGAATTTAAAAGATACAAATGCTTCGGCATATTTAGTTCTTTGAACTTTAAATTATAATTATAATCATAAGGTGTATGATTGAATTCTGCCATAAAAACTTTTAATTGTTATGTGGAGCTCTACAAATTAGCAAAGTGGTGTAGGGTATCATAAAATCGGCCCCGCCCGACTTTAGGACTTTCTTTACTGGTTTCTTTCCGTTGTGGTGTAAGTTCTTGCACTTTTTGGATTTTAAATGGCTTTACTCCGAGCTCATTTTTCAATATTTGCCGATATGTTCAGCTCACCACTGCGACGCGGGTTTTGATCACTTCGCTTCCTTACTTTTCGAACCATTTCTGCTGATGTTGCTGTTTTCTTTCGTCCACTTCCTTGAAATCGGGCTACGCTACCAGTATCACGGTAACGAGCGATGGTACGAGACACGAAAGATTTATTCAGATTAAATGCTGGAGTGCTCTAACGATAGCCTCTTGTGGTTTTCCAGCCAAATATAACGAAATCACACTATCACGCTTGAATTCCATCTGAAGTTGGTTGCAGTTTTTTCATCTCACCCTGTATGTGCGCTATTATAAAACGTCGACTTAAATATTCACGTTTCTGCCACCGGAGCTAGAAGCCATTACGAACTAAAAATATCAATTTTTTGACAAATCCGTGGGAAAATGTGGGAAAAATCATCAAAATACTGAATATCAAGAGGTAACGTTATATATGGGGTCTACATAAAAACGTTGCTCTATACATACAGTGTTTCGTTATAACCTAGAAATGAACATTTTTAGATAAATCCGTGAAAATGTGGCGTAAATGATCAAAATACCAAATATCGGAAGGTACCGTTGTATGGCGGCTATACCAAAACGTGGACCGATATATCTGATTTTCAATACCAACCATCCTAGACATAATAAATAGTTTTTATGCTGATTATTTATTACTAAAAAAATGAAAATGTTAATATACCCTCCTTTTCAAGTTGGAGGGTATAAAATTGTCGGGAAGTTTAATATTTATGTACGCTATGTAGAATTTTACGTAACGCTGTAGTAGACGTTTTTGTGATTATTAGTACCTCCTATGGTGTGCGCCTCTTAAAGGGTTAACCATTAAAATAAATGGCAACAATAAGAAGAAGAAGAACAGTGTTGCCAACCGTTTTTGGAAAACAGTTGAGTATTCCAGTTGCCTAAGTGTCAACAATGATGACAATCAGAATTTCCTGGCCAAAATTGTCAGAAAAATCTTTCCTTTTTACTTTACCTGCGAGGAAGATTGGATGTATGGCTCCCAGAAAGAAAAAAACATAAAGTCTTGTTGAAAAGTGGATTCAATTTCTTATTTGTTTGAAACACATAAACAAACAACACAAAATACAAACTTTTTTAAACAAAATTGAAAGCCTTAAAACGATTAAAATCAAAATTTAACTACAAAAGGCTAAAAGTTAAAAAAGAAATCTTATAACTAAAACAAATAGTTTTCATGAAAATTGAAAATTAAAAGAAAAATTGAACTTTTTTTGAAATTAAATTTAATGAAATTAAATTTGGAAACAATTTAACAAAATTTGAAAACAAAACAATAAAATTAATATCTAAAGCAAAGAAATAACTCTTATACATAAAGATCCAAAAGAAGAATTCGAGCATACGAGCCACACCATCGCCCATGCAATCCAGGCGCAGTTTTTATGCCATCGTTAAACCAGCGTGGCTTGGTATCCCCAATCGACATTTGTTACTATAAACTCCGAACAGACAGACGGACGACGAAGCTAAATAGTTAAATTCCGCGATTTTCCTGTGAAGAAAAGAAAGATAGAAATTAGAAGGGGTAAACAAATGAATTTAAATTTTACTCACCTTTTTGTTTAATATGCAGCACCACGACGTTGAACAGAGCTCTCTTCAAGGTTAGGTAACCAGGCTTTTAGTTCGTTTAGTTCATCGATTTTATGTGATTTCCCTCCTTTGTTTGTCCTTTCCTGAAATTGAAAGACAAAGAAACATAATTAAAATAAATTGAACGTGGAATATAATTAAAAAAGCTAAACTTTAACAATACATGCGTACTTACTTGTTGGGAAGAACCGCAAATATTAGCTGCCTTTATTGTTCCCTACTTTTTATCGTCCGCCATCGCAACCTAAAATATGAAAAGGGGAAAGGAAAAATATTAGATTTTGTATTAAATTTGGCACTGTTTCTGTGGTGATAGTTAAAGTAAGTTTGGGATTTAGTGTAATATTTGGTGAATGTCCTTTTGTTTTCTTTCTTTCACATGTTTCTGGTTCCTTTAACCCAATTTAATTTGATTTTGCGAGTCCGATATGATTTTTTTTTTTTTGTTCAGCCGAAAAAGTCTGAAAATTGGCAAGAACCAACCCCCGATCCGACGAGCCATAGCCGCGCTATACGCCAGCATACCGGCAACACCACTTAAATGGCGCCCAACGAGGGGCAACATTTTTGTTCAACCGAAAAAGTCTAAAAGGTGGCAAGAACCAACCTCCGATCCGACGAGTCATAGCCGCGCTATACGCCAGCATACCGGCAACGGCGCTTAACGACAAACATAGCTATTTTCGTGGAATACGGTTGTTACATTCCTTTCGAATAATCCCAACTAGAATGCAATTTTTAAATTTAATTACACAGTTAAGTAGGCAGACAATGAGGTTATGTATAGAACGAGCATCGTGCAGATGGCCGCCGCGACTTTGATGGCACACACTTGATCTTTTAATGAAATTTTCAATGTCCGTTTTACATAGCGTCCAATTTCAGCAGCGTCCAATTATCTGTTGGTCTCCTAAATACGAAATAACACGACCACTGATGCAACAATTGAATTGTCTCCCTGGCTGTATCAAATGTGATGCCCTCTTGGTGCAACGACATACCCTCCACATTCATTTCTTAAATTCTAGACACGAAAAAAACTGATTATAATTTCACGATACCAATTTCCATTTTTATTTTTGCATTCCAGTTGGGACACCCTATAAATATGGAACTGTTATTTCCCCCCAAAATTACATCACCGAAATTGATTTCAGTGGAAAGATCATAGATTTTACATTCAAAATCTTTTCAAATCATAAGTAACAACCAGTCAATATGTATGTTTTTTTGTCAATATCATTATTGAAACAATGTCATATTGAGAAACAAAGTTGTTATCTTGGATTTTGAGCGGAGTCACGTAACCATACGAAATGATGTCACAATTGGCCTGTAGTTATGCTCTCTGATGTGCTACTAGGGACTCAAATTATATTTGAAAATTTCGATAATTCTCCGATATTTTGCTATATACCTCAACAAAATCAGTATTAATGTAACGACGGAGCGGTCCTTTCCGTATCTATGTAATTACACCTGGAAGTAACATTCAGCATTCAAAATATTCACGGTTAAATAGAAATTTTGGTTTTGATTATGATCCATTGCACCCTCAAAATAGTATCCAATGTCACTCCAAATATATCAAACTTCTGTCCTGTCGTTAACAACCATGCAAGATTACCAGTCGATTGGTCTATAATTGACAGCTGTACAGTGACTCTAACATTTGTAAAAAATGTCAGTTTATGGTCCATTTCATCCACTTAATGTTTCACGAATATCTCCACAGTCTGACCTTAACATCAACGCAAAATTACGTGTCGATTGATCTTTTTGTGGCGACCTGTAATTGCAAATTCAATAACTAAGTATTTCGTAAAGATTTCTACAAACAATAGCCTCCTATTCCGACCCTATCTTTAACTCCACGACTGGTAGAGTGTTTACAAATTAACATGCAGAGAGATAATACCTAGGTTTCGTAAAGAGCCACCAATCCTCATCAGTTCCCTTGCTTTTTGTCTGGGAGATTCTCTCCAGAAGATACTTTAAATTAAACTAAAACGTGTGATTTTGTTCGACCTATTTTCCAATATATTTAATAATACGAGTTTTTTGAGCTTTAGGCCAGTTTTTTATTTTATTTCATTTTTTTATTTCCGATATTTCACAATTGTATAAATTGCATCTTCAGGGAATCTACAAGATAATATAATATTCTTAATATTAATATCACAGCATTGATTAAAAATAGAAACAAACACAATGTTCTTAGGCACAAAAATCGCTTACTTGTAAACAATAACGGTCAACTTAATAACCACGATAGGAACAATCATCGTCGGCTGTTAATATTTCACTGATTTTGTTTTGCACTGTTTTGCACGATCTCTTCTTTTGTGTAAAAGCCTAGCTGCGTTGTCTGTGTCGCTCTTAAAATTTATTCTCTCTGTTGTGTGTAGATTGTTAATGTGTACAGGGCTGCCATTTTTACCTTTTTGACGATTCTTTACTCTTAAATCAGAAATGCCGATTTCCTTTAAAAGTGTCGATATTTTAACGATCGTCTCAAACTGTTTCACATCACAGTTATCAAAGTTATTTTCATGAATCTAAAATATACCGAAACAAATAAAATATACCTGTCATTTTTTTGGCTCATATTCTCAATGCTAAAAGTAAAACCTACAAATTATTTGAAAAAGAATCTACCGGAATTCATAATTTACTTAATCCAATTTTTAGAAATTCCAATCCAATTTTTAAAAGTGTTTTGAGTAATTTCATCAAATAGGACGTAATAAAAGATAATATTTATTTAACTGAAACGTGCCTCATCGAAATAACGTTTTTAGACCCTAGGTCTCTTTGGACCAAATACGTTTCAGAACATTTGGAGTTGATCTAGCGATGTCCGTCTGTCTGACTGGCTGGCTGGTGCGCACGATAACTCTCGAAGGCGGTATCCAATTTGGTCCACACTTGGTACATTGTAATATTATTATCAAATTTAGATCGAATTCGCAGATGGGCTATATCGGTCCACTTTTTCTGGTACATCTCCCACAAAGGGTCAACATTTTGCATATTCATGAAGCGCATAAAACGCGAAATTTACATCCGATTCCATTCAGATTCGGTACATCTCAAAATTTCCATTAACACCTCTCTCACAAAGGTTCAAAGATTTGAATAACCAAAACGATTATAAAATCCGAAATAAGCTTCCGGTTCTCTTCATATTTCACACATCCCATTATTTCTACTAACACAAGATCTGCTGTGAAGATAGAACATATCGGTCTACTCCTTCTGGTACCTCCACTACAAAGGGTAACAATTTAGAAGACCCATGAAGCGCTAAATTAACAACCGATTCTATTCAAACTTGGCTCATCTCAATATTTCCATCAAAACAAGATATTTTATAAAGATGGTATAGATCGGACCATTTCTTCTGGTACCTCCCCCACATAACGTTCAAGATTTTGAAAAACAAAACGCACAAAGAAATCGAAATAAACATATCCAACAAAGGGTCATAATTTTCAATACTTTTATCTGTCATAACCCGCGAAACAATTCAGCGATTGTTTACAACTTGCTATATCTAAATATTTCTGTCAACCAGAAAGCTGGATAAATATGGAATTTATGATTTCGCATAAAATTGGATATAAAATTTTGATTTTATTGTAATTTTGCCCATGCCAATATTTCTATCGGTATTAAATGAAGTATGAAAATGGAATACTTCGGTCGACTATATCTGGAATCTCACCCACGTTTCAACATTTTAGAAAATTAACACATATCTCATATCCAGTGAAGGAAGTAATCAATATAGGCCAAAATTGTCACGTCGCAATATTGAACAATATTGGTCCATCTCCTACTCCATAGAGGGAACTATTTGTTAGCCTATATTTTTTGAAATGTATAGTTGGGCATATTTGTTTTCGGTTTTTAGAAAATTATGCTTTAATTTAATCATGTATATTTTGCCAATTTTCACAAAATGCAAATACCGATTATTTCAATTTTTTTTTTTTTTTTTTTTTTGAAAAATTTATGATTTTTCTTCAAATTTTGTTGGCAACCCTGAATGTGTAGCATTTCTAATGTGAGTCTTCTGTGGTAATGGTTTCCGTTTCCAGTATTTTTACTTGTTCAAGGTTTGGCTGATGGTTGCTTGATATACATGAATGATGAAAAAACTGCAACCAACTTCAGACTGCTGTCATTTATAAGCCACTCGTCCGACAGCTGTTAAAATTATTCCAGTGACAGCTCATTATATTCTTTACAAGCGTACAAAAGCATTTTGGTGAGAATTTTCCAGAAAAAAAGTTATTCGTGATGGAATTCAAGCGTGATAGTTTGATTTCTTTATATTCGGCTGGAAACCCATAAATGGCTATCGTTAGAGCACTCCAGCATTTAAATGTAAATAAATCTTTTGTGTCTCGTACCATCGCTCGTTACCTTGATACTGGTAGCGTAGCCCCACGTCAAGGAAGTGGACGGAAGAAAACAACAATATCAGCAGAAATGGTTCGAAAAGTAAAGAAGCAACTTGATCGAAACCCGCGTCGCAATGTCCGAAAAATGGCTCGTGAGCTGAACATATCGCAATATTCCATTCGGCGAATATTGAAAAATGAGCTCGGGGTAAAGACATTGAAATTCCAAAAAGTGTAAGAACTTACACCACAACAAAAAGAAAATAGGCCGCCGATAACAGCCGATGGACGCTCTCCGCTTCTATTAATCGACTGTGGCATCAGAATAAATGCCGAATATTATCGCGAAAATATTCTGGAGAGTGTATTAAAACAAACATTTTGGCCGCAGACCTTGGACATTCCAACAGGACTCAGCACGCGCCACCCAAGAATGGGTTACACAATGAGGTTCCTCGCTTCATTTCCAGCGCACAATGGCCATTAAAATATCCGGATACTAATCCGTTAGACTATTGTGTCTAGAGTATTTTGGAAAGCAAGGTTGGCACCAAAAAATACCAAAGTGTCGATTACCACAAGCAAGCACTTCGCCGGGAACGGGCTAAAACAGCGCAAAGCAACATTCGGGCAGCGTGTGACTGTTTCATTGACCATTTTAAGTCCATAATTCGTACCAAAGGTGACCAATTTGAACAAATCTAAATTTATTTTAAAATTTTATGCTATTTCCGAAAATTTTTGCTTTCATTCAATAAAATTAAAAAAAAATGTAAAAATTATGGCGTCTGACTTCGATGCAGTTTTTTATCTCACCCTATACATTCCGCAAGCTTTTTTTTTGTTTTTTTTTGTGTAATTTTCTCATTTTTAAATCAGACTTATGAACTGATAGTCTAGTTTTTAATTTATTTTTTGTGGTACCAACATTTTTCGTTAGGATTGCCACCACATTGTATTTGGTATATCACATTGTGTTGATCAGAGTTTTGTATTTTGTCTTTTGTATTGCTAAACAGCTTTTTGAGAGTGTTGTTGTTTTATTTGTTCTTGTCAAAAAAATGCTAGTTTTGGAATCGTTCTGATAAATTTGGAAGGTAAACCATAGATTTATATATATGTTTTCATTCGTTTGAGTTACTTTGGGAGTATTCCGTCTGTCTATTAATCTATTTATTATTCTTATTGGAAAATTGTTGTTTTTTAGAATCTCTCGGATTTTGTGTTTGTTCTTGTTATGGAATTTCTCGTCACTAATGCTCATTACTCTATGTACTAAATTCTTTGCAGTGTTTATAATCATTTGCTTTGGATGTTTCGAAAAGAAATTTATAATTCTTCCCGATGCCGTGGGTTTCTGATACCAGTCTAATTCTAATTTGTCCTTATTTCTATATATTATTGTGTCCAGATATGGTAAACATCCATTCATTTCATCCTCCATGGTGAATTTGATATTGTTGCCAAAACTGTTAAGTATATTCAATGTATCATTGATTGCACCTTCCCCAGTTATCATAAAAAGATCGATCGCGTATTACGTTAATATTTTTGGTTTCGTCGTCAGTTTTTTCATGCAGGTGTCTACAAGTTTCTCCATGACTATATCCGCCACAACTGGAGAAGCTGGTGAACCCATTGGCAGTCCTTTCTTTTGTTTATATATCCTGTCGTCGTATTTGAAATATCGGTTGTTCTTAATGCAAAATTTTAGAATACTAAAAATCTTTTGGAAAATCTTCTAAATAATACAACAACACATCTTTTATTTTCTTATTTTAAATAAAAATCATTTTTTTCTATAAAAAATAATTTTATAAAAATACGTATATAATTTTGTATTAACTCGATTGAAATCATAATACCATAACTACTAGTCAACTAATCAAAACAGGTTTTTTTATTGAAAAATATAAAAAATATTTTTATTCATGTGCCTCTTGAATCACATTTTTGATTTCGAATATTAACAAAACAATAAAAGCTAGGCCAGATTTGAAAAAATGAACACTAATGCTACATAACATGTCATATCTGTATGTCTACAAGTAAAACTACTTTCTTTTAGTTTTTTTGTAAGGCAACACAATTAATAAATAGGAAACTAACAAAAATGGGAAATTTTAACCAAATCAAATAATTATAACTGATTTGAAATGCATTAATTTCAACTGTATTTAATTATAATTTGGTTAAAATTTCCCTTTTGAATGCGATCGATTTATGTTTTGAGCTTCGTCGGAGGATGGGTTTTTTGAATATGTTACAAAGTTCTTATTACATAAATTAGGGCATTCAGGGCACGACATTGCCTAGTTTGTTTCGATACCCAATTCGTTTTAATAATACGATCTTCGACGTTCGTTACGAATACTGACACACAAACAGCAGGCGATAAAGGAAAGAATTAGCTGCAAAAAAATAGAAAATAATAAATTAGAAAAAAATGTGAGTAAAAATGATTTTAAACATTGCTTGAAAAATGTAAATTTTCAATTCCACCTAATATTCTATGGTTTGTTTTTAGTTTACCTTAAAAAAAAAACCAGTAAAGAAAGTCCTAAAGTCGGGCGGGGACGATTTTATGATACCCTACACCACTTTGCTAATTTAGTTGAGCTCTACTTAATAATTAAAAGTTTTTATGGGAGGATTCAATCATACACCCTATGATTATAATTATAATTTAAAATTCAAAGGACTAAATATGCCGAAGCATTTGTATCTTTTAAATTCGGACTTGTATTGCCCATTTGGTGCGAAATTAATTTGAAATCGGATAAAAATATATATGGGAACTATATCCAAATCTGAACCGATCTCGATAAAATTTGGCAATAATATTTCTGAGCTGTATTTGATATATTTCCCTGAATATCGTTGTTACGGAGTGCATATTACGGCTGTGGGTAACAAATACAACAAATAACTATATCTGAACCGACCTTCACCAAATTTGGCATACTACCTTCTAGACTAAATTCGGTCGTATGTGCCAAATTCCATTTGGACAAATATTAGACGTTTGGTGCACAATAAATGGTAAATCGGACGAAGTTATATATGGGAGCTATATCCAAATCTGAACCGATCTCGATAAAATTTAGCAAAGGTATTTCTGAGCTGCAGTTGATATATTTTCCCAAATATTGTTGTTACAGAGTGCATATTACGGCTGCGGAGGACAAAAATAACAAATCGGATGAACAATATATATGGGAGCTATAGCTATATCTGAACCGATTTCGACATACTTATTTTCAGGCCTAATTTGGTTGTATGTGCAAAATTCCATACTATTCGGGATGATATTACACGTTTGGTGCACAATAAAAGGCAAATCGGACGAAGATATATATGGGAGCTATATCTAAATTTTTACCGATTATCTCCAATAGGGTTCGTCCTTGGGCCAAACAAATGTTGTTTGCAAAATTTCATCTCAATCGGATAATAAATGCGACCTGCATTTTGTTCACAAGAATACATGGACAGACGGACGGACAGACGGACCGACATGCATAAATCAACTCAGAATGTGATTCTATGCAGATCATCAAAAGGAACTATGGGTCTATCTCGTTTCCTTTTGCCTGTTACAAACAAATGCACAAAGACATAATACCCTGACCACCTTGTGGTGTAGGGTATAAAAAAACATTTAAAAATGTATGTCGGTAGTGGGATTATCTAACTATTTAACGACAGAATTAACGACAATTATCCATAACAGCATTAATTTAAATAACAATTTCCGTAACTGACAATATTTGTCGATATGTCGCCGATGAAACTAAAGTAGTCGCTGAGGTCTACAGACTGAAAGAGTGTTGGTAACATTTCACTTTTAACATGCAATTTTTCCGTTCGTAATTTTTAACCTGACAACAACAAATTTTGTGACACGTATGTAACGCAACGCTCAATTGACTGACTAACAATCTATCCACAGTACTATTTATCGCGGATTAGCCACACATCTAGCAGAAACATCGAAACAACTCCTGAGGTATAATTCTCGTTGACGTTGTTGTGGTGGTGGTAACATATAGTTTATCTTTCGGTTGCTACTACAGGGAGCTTGGCGTAAAGATATACCCTCAGCCATATGGCTGATACAGCCAAAACGTGCCTCATCGAAATAAAGGTTTTAGACCCTAGATCTCTTTGGACCAAATCCATTTCAGGACATTTGAAGTCGCTCTAGCGATGTACGTCCGTCCGTCTGTCTGTCTGGCTGGTGCACACGATAACTCTCGAAGGGTCGGATACCCCTTTGGTCTGATACAATAATAATAATATAACGATGTGCCAAGCGTAATATTATTATCAAACTTAGATCAAGTTCTGAAATGGGGAATATCGGTTCACTCCTACTGGTACATCCCCCATAAAAGGTCAAAATTTAAAAAAAAAATTATAAATTTTTTTTCTGCACATAAACAGAAAGGATAATCCGACTTTCCTACAAATTTACAAATCCTAGTATTTGCATCAATGCTACGACAGTTGCGAAAATCGACAATGTCGGTCCACTGCATCCAGTACCTCCCCAACAAATGGTCAAAATTTTGAATAATTACAACTCTTATAAGATGTGATGGAAGGTCCGATCGTCTTCAAATTACGCAGATCACAAAATTTTGATCAATCCAAGGTCTGGTGTGAAGATGGAATATATCCATCTTTCCACTCTTTCTGGTACCTCCCCCACAAATTGTCAACATTTTGAATATCAACGCGAAATTAACATTTGATTTCATTCAGACTTGGCACATCTCAATATTTCCCTCAAGGCAAGATCTGTTCTAAAGATGGCAGAGATCGGACCATTTCTTCTGGTACCTCCACCACAAAGGGTCAACGTTTTGAATAACCAAAACGATCATAGAATCCAAAATTAGCATACGATTCTCTTCATATTTCACACATCCTATTATTTCTACTAACACTAGATCTTCTGTGAAGATGGGATATATCGGTGTCAAAATTTTTAATATCAATGAAGCTCATAAAACGCGAAATTAACATACGATTCCATTCCATTGAAACTACTACGGTGAATAATGACGCTAAAATCATCAAAATATCGAATTTTGGGAGGTAAAGCTATAGGGGTAGACGTGGACCTGCAGAGACAATTTTCTGTCATAAGCTGTAGAATCCATTACAAACTTCAAATGCCAAACTTGAGACAATTCCGGTGAATAATGTCGCTAAAATCAACCATTTACGAACTTAACTGCAAAATTTTAGCCTTCTATCTCAATTCGTTCGAAAGATAGCGTGATTGCAACAGACAGACAGACGGACATCGCTAAATCGACTTAGAATTTTACGCTGATCAAGAATATATATGCTTTGTTGGGTCTGACATGAATATTTCGAGGAGTTACAAACGGAATGACAAAGTTAATATACCCTCCATAGAACGGTGGAGGGTATAGAAATTAATAAAAACGACAAATTAATTAGAAGAACAAGTAAAAAAACATTAAGTTCGGCCGGGTCAAACTTTTAATACCCTCCATCTTAGGGTAAAGGAAACATTAGAGCCAAAAATTATCAAAATATCGAATATCCGGAAATACGGTTATATGGGGCTATACAAAAACGTGGACCTATGTATACAGTGTTTCGCCAAAAGAAATCCGCGAAGAAATGTGGCAAAAACCATTAAAATGCCGAATATCGGGAGGTACCGTTATATGGGGGCTATACCAAATCGTGGATCTATACATGCAATGTTTCGCCAAAGGAGCTAAAACCCATTATAACATACAAATACCAATTTTCAGACAAACCCGTGAAAAAAGTGGCAAAAATCATCAAAATACCGAATATCGGGAGGTACCGTTATATGGGGACTATACCAAAACTTGGACCTATACATACAATGTTTCGCCACACTAACTAGGACCCATTATGATCGACAAATACCAATTTTTAGACAAATCAGTTCAATGTTTCGCCAAAGGAGCTAGAACCCATTATGACATACAGATACCAATTTTCAGACAATTCATCAAAATACCGAATATCGGGAGGTACTTTATATGGGGGCTATACCAAATCGTGGACCCATACATGCAATGTTTCCCAACCGGAGCTGGAGCCCATTATGACCAACAAATACCAATTTTTAGACAAATCCGTGAAAAATGTGTCAAAAATAATCAAAATACCGAATATCGGGAGGTAGCGTTATATGGGGACTATAACAAAACGTGGACCGATATATCTCATTTTCAATACCAACCATCCTAGACACAATACAAATTACTCTGCTAAATTTTGGCGCTCTACGTCAAATAATGTGGGCTGTATCGTGATTTCAACAGACAGACGGACATCGTTAAATCGACTTAGAATTTTATGCCGATTATGAATATATATACTTTATGGGGTCTACGACGAATATTTAAGGATGTTACAAACGGAATGACAAAGTTAATATACCCTCCTTTCCAAGGTGGAGGGTATAATGACAGGAAAATACGAGTAATTTGCGAGGTTCAACAACGAGCGACAAAGAGAACGATCGTTAGTTACAGTGACGCTAACGTACTAGGGATAAGTAAGCCGACTAATCGATTTTGGCGTTAACATGGCAGAAGAATAGAGGTAGATGCATCAACGCTTGGGAGCATTGATATGTCAACAAAAAATTGAAATGTTTTTTCAAATATAAGAGATTTTATATGTTTTCTTATACTACGTCATTCGGAGGTAATTATTATTCGCTTTTTTCAACAATTTTTATAAATTTAAATGATTTTTCATTTAACATTTTCAATTTCAAAATTGGTTTAACAGTTCATTGTCCCAGCAGCTGTGTCGACGCGTCTACCTATATTCTTCGTCTAAAAAGAACAAAGGTGTTTTAGGTTGACTTAGTTCGATTTTGGCCCATTATTTACACCTGTGCAACCTTCGAGTCTTTGTCCCAAAGACATAGAAGTATAAAGATGGGATAAGACAGAGTCAAAATATGGCAAACCCGTGAAAATACCTCTGTTGTTATGATATCATAACAACATAGTTACTAATGTTTACTGATTTAAACCGCTAAGTAAATATGCAAATTTTTGGAAAGGTCTAAGACCATTTTAGGTCTTTGTTCGTCCTTTTACGAAGAAGCCAGCTGCTGACATAAGCACTTGAACTTTTTTCTTGGGATTCCACATACTACAAGCGTTACCAACACATATAATTGCTATTCTAACTACTCAAACTTGGCAGGAAGGAAATATTTTCAACTCCCTTGAACAGTGTGGCGTGCTTGGCATAGCAAACAATTTAAAGCGTTCCACAGAGCTACCCTGGTTTATGTGTGATTCCGTGAGGACAAGTGGTCCCTCTTTTTACCCTCACTTAGACTATCTCGCATTTCACTCATGTAACGGTTCTCTCGTAGTTAAGAGCCTTATTTTCCTATCTTCCATGGACTTTGCAGATAACTAATATATTTCAAGTCAACAATTTGCCAAAAGCATAAAAAATCCTTTTAGATTCCAATTTTTCCCTAAACCTACCTCCAAGCCAATTAAAACACAGGCAAGTATATTGAATATGCCCAACAATTCCAACCAATAATCTTCGAACTTAATGCGGCAACCACTTTCAATGAGATTTTCCGGTAGGCTTATATCATGACCAACAAAACACGTTGGTGGCGGCAAACGTCCAGCAACAATGTAATCCTGAGGACTGGCGCGACCACAGCAATCGAACTGCAAAAGAGCAAAACGAAATTAATTTAAACGCGAAGTTACTAATATTCGAGATACGTTACCCAATTTTCATAAATTGACATGGCACCGTGGTTCTTTAATTCCTTCTCCCATGTGGCATCCAATTCATTGGCTAGATTTGAGGCAACCGATTCCCGTCCGGCAATCATAAAGAAGGCCACAACGCCTTGAGCAAAAATGATTAGAACCATGAGCACAATAAACTGAAAAAGGGGGATATTATAAATTATTTAATATTTCCATGTTCAAGTGGTTATATTTGAGAATGAAATCGTATAACCTCAACCACAATTACCGCAAAACAGCGATGATCTTCAAACAGACCTGACCGCATTTTTTTTTGAGGTTAAGTTGCTTGGTGGACTTCAACATCTGTTTTTTTACAATTGCGATATTATTTTTTTTTATATTTCTTACCGTCACCGTACAGCAGACATTGTCACGCATAGCGCCCACATTTAAAAATATAAATACCACAAATGTGGCAACACCAATGGCTATATAGCCATAGGCACCCATTGTGCCAATCTCATTTGTTTCATTTGTACAGATTACATAGGCGCCAAACCCAATTAGAACAGATGCCAATAGCTGAAAAGAAAATAAAAATTATTCTTCATTATTATTTTGAAAATAAATATAGAGAAATTATTTTGAAGTTTCAAAATTAGTTTCTTATTTTCCCTCCAACCACGACTGTTTTCGACTGAGAGAATTAAGAATTCACACTGTCAAGTAACCGATAATAAATGACAGTGTATATTCTAATTAAATTATAAATCTACGACTCAAAATCGAAAATACATTACGAAATGTCGACCTTTCGATTTTTACCTTGGGCAAAATTCGATTTTCGACTTCTTTTCTCGCATAGTTTGATTTTGCTGTTCTAGACTGTAGGCAAAGACATAGAAGTGTAAAGATGGGATAAGAGACAACCAAAATATGGCAACCCTGTTAAAATACCTCTGTTGTTATGATATCATAACAACATAGTTACCAATCTTAACTGATTTAAACCGCTACGGTAATGTGCAAATTTTTGGAAAGGTGTAAGTAATAGAATTTTGAAACCACATTTTTTGATTCTTCAAACTTCTATTCGTCATTCGTTTCTGCAATTGTGGTTTTATATTAACAGGACTCGGTCATGTGCTGTAGATACAAACCATTTGCTCAAAATGCATTTTGTCTAGTCTTTACCGTTTTAGGTCTTGGCTATAGGTGCAAGTACATAATAATTATATAATTTATTCGTAAAAGAACAAAGAAGTTTTCGGTTGACTTGGTTTAATTTCGGCCCTTTATTTATAGTTGTTCACCCTACACTTATTTTTTTATGCAGAAGCCAGCCGTTGTATTAAGCCATCAAAAAGCTTGTTCTATGTGTTCTCACCTAAAAGCCAGTAAAAGTATTATATGTATCTACACCTGAAGGGGAAGGTACATAAAAGGCTTTTCTGACTGTCTTAAGTCATCGGCTTCTTCGTGGAGGTACAAAGAAGTTTTAGGTTGACTCAGTTCTTTTCTGGCCCTTCGTTCTTTTCCGAAGAAGCTAGAACAAAAGCGTTTTATGTATTCTCACCTTTAAGTTTTCGAACAGAAAACAAACGTCGAGTCGCAATTTTTGAAAGTGATCGTAATCAAAGCACATTCCAAAATTTAAAATTCGAATGAATTTGGTCAAATTAAATAAAATATTCTGTTTTTTATATACATCCATATGGCCAATGTGTATTTTGCATTTGAAAAACATAAACAATGAGGTTGGTATTTGTTTAATATTATTCTCACCCCAAAAACATTTCTTTTTTGGTTATAACGCCATCCTCCTTGAAATGCAAAGTTTTTTTTTCAAATTTCCAGTAACATTTTTGCAGAATCTAAAACAGAGCATGAAATAAATTAAAAATCGGTACCATTAAAAATCTCAGTAAAAAATAATCCGTTTACTAACAGAACAACTAGCGCCGATAGCAACGAGAACCGCTTCAGCCAACCACCCCAGTATCTGTTGGCAATGTAACTAAAAAAATTGCCTCCGATAATATTCCGTTTACCACATAAGGCAAATAATTCTTCAGACTTATGCCATTTCTAAGCCACTCTTTTGTGTCTCGTACTATCGCTCGATACCGTGATATCGGTAGCTTAGCCCGACGTCAGGGAAATGGACAGAAGAAAACAGCAACATTAGCAGAAGTGGTTCGAAAAGTAAAGAAGCGACTTAATCGAAACCCGCATCGCAGTGGCCAAAAAATGGTTCGTGAGCTGAACATATCGCAATATTCCATTCGGCAAATATTGACAAATGAGCTCGGGGTAAAGCCATTGAAATTCCAAAAAGTGCAAGAACTTACACCGCAACAGAAAGAAAATAGACTTAAACGAGCTAAAGAGTTGCTTTGCTTGGCCGAAAGTGGTGAACTGCCGAATTTGGTTTTGTTTGATGAGAAAACATTCGTTGTCCAGCAGTTTGTAAACAAACAAATTGATCGTGTTTACTTGCCAAAGATGTTAGCTGGAAATGTGCACCTTCGGTTGGCCACCAGAACTCAAGCGGCGACCATGGTGATGATGTGGGCAGTCGATGGTCGCTCTCCGCTTCTATTAATTGACCGTGGCATCAGAATAAATGCAGAATATTGTCGCGAAAATATTCTGGAGGGGGTATTAAAGACAGTCCTTGGACATTCCAACAGGCACCATCGCACTCAGCACGCGACACCCAAGAATGGTTACAAAATGAGGTTCCTCGCTTCATTTCCAGTGCACAATGGCCACCAAAATCACCGGATACCAATCCGTTGGACTATTGTGTCTGCAGTATTTTGAAAAGCAAGGTTGGCACTAAAAAATACCAAAGTGTCGATCACCCCTTGCCGGGATTGGGTCAAAATACCGCAGAGCAATATTCGGGCGGTGTGTGACGATTTCATTGGCCGTTTGAAGGCCATAATTCGTGCCGAAGGTGACCAATTCGAACAAATCTAAACTTATTCTAAAATTTGATGCTATTGGGGGCTATACAAAAACTTGGACCTATACATACAATGTTTCACCATGGGAGCTAGAACCCATTATGACCTATAAATACCGATTTTTAGACAAATCCGTGAAAAATGTTGCGAAAATCATCAAAATACCGAAATAGGGAGGTACCGTTATATGGCGGCTTTATCAAAACGTGGACTGATATATCTCATTTTCAATACCAATTATCCTAGACACAATTCAAATTGTTGTGCCAAATTTTGAAGCTCTTTGCGAAATAATGTGGGCTGTATCGTGATTTCGACAGACAGACGGACAACGTTAAATCAACTTAGAATTTTATTCTGATTATGATATATGAAAATAAATACTTTATGGGGTCTACGACGAATATTTAGGGATGTTACAAACGGAATGATAAAGTTAATATACCCTCCTTTTCAATGTGGAGGGTATAATAATTTTGTAGAATATTTTTTCCTGCTACGATTCCGTTGAAAAGAAGTTTGATTAAATTGGTGCTTGCGATTTATTGAGATCGGCATGTGGCAAAATTTGTTTATTTTCCGTTTGCTTTCTTTTTCAGAAATATATAAATAATTTTGAATTAAATAAATATTTTCTTTGTTTTTCTAAACTAAACAAAAACAATCATTAGAAAAAGATATTTTATATAAATAAAAAATAACCCCCTGTTGATTTTGATGCAACATTTATTGAACCTTGTATAAAAAAATTGTTGTTTTTCAAAATGATTCATCGCCTAGTAATTGAACCAGATGCAATTGCGAAAATATCATAACTTTAATTAAAACAGATCGGGTATTTTAAATTGCTGGTTTGCACATCTCTCGGTATAAGTGTTTTCCATGGAAGCTATACAAAATGTTCAGATACATGTATGTAGTTATGTTTGCTGGTTGTTCATTGAAGCAATTAGATCCTCTCGATGCAGTAAACTTTTATGGCATTTGTGCAATGTGGGAGTGTTCAGGTCAAGTGGCACTGAATTGCAACCGAATCTAAATATGCATCTCGTTGCAATATAAATTTCTCACTAATTTTAATTTTTTTGTTTTTTTTGGTTTGGTTTAATAAGAAATTCAAAAACGTTCAAAAGCCCACGAATCGTTTAATTATTCCCGACTGTGATTTCAGCTACATTCAAATGAGTGTGTGTGTGTGTACAGCAAATGTAGCAACATTTACCTAACGTTTGTGGCTTGCATTCGATTGCCGTGTAAACAGCAACAACACTTGGTCATTAAATTAACGCCAACACCACCCATTGTGGGCGCCAACTATTTATTTCCAGTCATTGCATTTTGTTATAGTTGTTTATTTGAGAAAAAATCTAAATTTTCTAATATTTTCACACATCGAGATTAGCTACATATTTTAGCCTGGAATTCTGTGAAATTGTTTATTACACATCCCAACCGCAAGGTGTTTGCGGTTAATTGCGCATACGATGACTGGTGTTTGAATAGGTGCAACAGTCTGAAGGTTATGATATGCACACACACACACACACATTTCCGGACTCGGTGATGGTGAATAACAACCTTATTATTCCGGAAGAACATTTCTTAAATTTCAAAAAGGTTTTATCTTATCAAAACAATATATGTCACTTATCTAGAAATATTGTGATGCATTGTTACGAACATTCGGGCTAAATTAGTCATTCAGTGAAATCAACAGAATATTCGCAGAAAAGGTTGGAATGTATCACTCGGTTTTACAATTAATTAAACAATTTTCAATTATGTTATGGGTTGCCCCAATCAGCTGACTCCAGAGCTTTGAAATGCTGGGCGAGTTTCCCATTCTACTCGGATTCGACAGAGAGAGAGAGAGAGTATTTCTTGCAGTAAAATAAAGAAATGGGCATACTGTATTTTTCTATGCCACTTTAATAAGAGCAAGTACGCTAGGTTCGTTTCCGAGTAGGAGTAAAATTGGCTAATTCTACTCTTTTTTCACTACTCATTCTGTGGATTGGTAAGATAATTTACCATAACTTTTATAAGTGACATCGAACAAGTAAAAAACATTAACATTAAGACTAGACTATCAAAACACCGAATATCGTTGGGTATCGTTATATTTGCGCTATAGGAAAACGTGGACCTAAATTTTCAATGTTGGCTCGCAGGAGCAATAACCCATTGTGAAGTATAAATACCAATTTTTAGACCAATCCATGGAAAATGTGGCAAAGATCATCATAATACCGAATATCAGAAGGTACCGCTATATGGGGGCCATAAAAAATGTGGAACTATACATACAATGTTTCTCCGGCGGCTCGCTCGAATAAGGGCGAGTTTGTTTTGTTTATTTTAGAGTGAGAGCAACATTTGTTTTAAAACAAGCAGATTCCGAGCACTCTTTACAGTTTTTGTCATACCATTACATTGTATTTTAATGTAAGTGTCTTTTCTCAAACCAAAGCTGCATTTGAAACGGATCTAGCGATGTCTGTTCGTCCATCTGTCTGGATGGTGATCATGATAAATCTCTTAGGGAGTATCCGATTTGGTCCAAACTTAGTACATTGTAATATTTACAGTTTTTGTCATACCATTACATTG